TGCATGCGATCGCGTGCGCGGACAGTCCGCGAGGGTACTTCAAGCATGGGTGCGACTTCTGATGCTATTAGTACTGGGGATGCAGGCAGCGCGAGGCTAAAGGCTAAGTGCACACGAACGTGACCAGGCTTCTGGCCGCGTGCCTGCTAAGCTTGAGCTCTGTGCTGCAGCGCGGCAGCAGTGGGGAGTGCCCCGGTGACGAGGACACGCGACTGCGGCGGTGGACGAGTGCTGCGCGGACACGGTCCCCGGGAGTCCCCAAACGAGGAAGAATGCGTCATGCACTGCGTGACGAGTCTCCACCCTTGTTCGGGCACGGCCGAGGGCAGTGGAGCGTACGGGAGAAATTAACTTGGGGAATCGAAGACAATGTGCATTTGGTGACATGATCAGCCCTATTCGGAGCAGGTTTCATGGCGCGCACAACCCCCGTTTGTCACGCGAGAAGAGAGAGAGAGCGCGAGGCGTGACGGTTGTGCAAATGAGATGGGCGGCGCATGGTGAAGACACGCAATCTCCATCTGCTCAAAGACCAGCACTAGGAATGATGGTGCGCGGGGCTGATGATGCGCACGCGGGCTGGGATGGAGAAGAAGGACGTTGCGAAATCGAAGGTGCAATTGGGGTGCCCACCGGCCGTCTCTTGCGGTGGCGCCGACGTCGTCTCCATAGCGCGAGCTTCGGGCACGAACAGGGCGTACAAATGGCGCAAGTGCGCACGGTGCCACAAAGACGTACCTCGCGAACTCGAAGCTCACGGGGCCTGTTCGGGCTCAGTGCTGCTGCAGACCAGACGCAGGCATGAACGGCGTTGTCAATTCATGGCCTCATTTGCACTGCAAATCACGTCTGCCCAAGATTAGTTAGACGCACCGTCCCAGTCCCAGCTAGAACCCGGTCGGTCGCACCGACTGATGTCGTCCGACCACAGTGGGGCGCTGGCCTACAGATTCTGCTGCATCGGACGGCAAAGAGACGTTGTGACCGGGCTAGTAGCTGGAAGACACGTTGGCTGGACCCAAGTCGGACTCCTTCCTGGGCGAACAATGCCCCGAAATAGAACGTGCGTCCAGTGTGACTCCCCCCCGTGACGGCCTGCCAAATACGGCAGATACCGAGGACAAGACGGCGGCTGTCACGGGCGTCACAGCGCGAGTCAAGCTGCCTTTCACACCCTTCACGCCTCCCTTTATATATTTCCTCCTCGTCCGCCGCCCATGTCTCCCCACATCCCGTCCTAGCACTCCCCCTCCTGCTCTCTCCCGCCATTGCCTCCTCATCCCTCCCCGGGATCCTCTCCTCTCGCCTACAGCCTCCATGTACGAAGAAGTCTGTCTCCTTTGCGGCAGGCCAGTCACCGTCGACGGGTTCGCTTTCTTTCTTCCCCCCATCCACCGTGCGCTGACCACACCTCCCAACTTTCCCCTCCAGACGGGCGTACTGTAGCGACGAGTGCGAGAGCCTCGACGCTACGTCGCCCTCTTTGTCCGCCTCTAGCAGCGCCTATCCGTCCCCGTACTTGCACTCGAACAAAGGCCCAGGCAGCCTCGCAGACGTGCCTGCTCTAGTCTCCTCTGCACTCGGCCGCTCTCTCAATGCCAACAGCACCACAAAGTCCCACAAGAGTCGCCACTCCATCTCCTCCTCGTCCGCCTCCTCCACCGTCTGGTCCACCTTTACTGACGACGAGGAAGACGGGCTCGTCAACCCGTCTTTGAGTGCGAGTGGCGATGACGACTTTGCAGACAATCGCGAATGGCTTGGCGGCGTTGACCCTAGTGCCAAGCTAGCGGGCTCCCTCGGTCACGGTTTGCATTCACGTGGATCAGGCCTGTCTTACGCCCGTCGCCCCTCTGGTACCAACAATCGTTCCACCATCACCACCCTCAACCGCCGCACTTCGTCAGTTTCAAACCCCTCCATTGGTAACGCTGGCTCTCCTCGCAGTGTTCCAGCCCCGCCTCCCCTCAGCCCCTTTGAGGACGACTTTGATGTACCGTCTGTCTCCCTTTCGTCGCTTTCCTCTGCAAACTCTCGTGACGCGCCCCGTAGCCATGGGCGCAAGTCGAGCACGTCTAGCGAACACGGGAACGCTCACGAGTCCACGGTCACTGTAAAGTCGAGGCGTAACCGGGCCAGTCTCCCTGCTTACTTTTCTCTCCTCACGGCATCCACTTCATCCCCTCCTTCCCGCACGCAGCGCTCACCGTCGTCGTTGCAAACTTTGAATGCCATCGCACGATCATTTCAGTCGTCGCCTCCTACCCCCCGCGTTGCCAACCCCGTTTTGGATCCCATCACGGCTTATTCGCAGGCTCACCCCAAGCCGGAAGGTGTGGAGGCAACCCCTCGAGGTCGGGTCCGGCAGCGCAACCCGAACGCTCGGTCGCCCTCTAGCCGCCGATCAGCTGCGCGGTCGCCTCCGCGTCAGTACGTCCCCAGCTCTCCACCGCCATGCGCCCATCACCGTGTGCTCGTCGGGCCGCAAGCCCGTGCGCGCCTCGACAGTATCGAGAAGGTCGCCGACTGGGTATCGCAGAGCCCAGTCGTAGGCCGTGGGCGCACCCTCACACGCCGAAATAGCTCCCCGCCGAAGAAGCCGCTTTTCGACACGATCATAAATAGCGTTGAGGCGGATGATGATTTGGACGCTGTTCGGGAACTTTTGGATCGGAGCCTGCATCCTCATCGAATGGTTGCCAGTGAAGATGTCTTTGTTGCCCGTGGTGACAGGGAGAGACGAGGTAGAAGGATGGTGGATGAGTTGGACAAGCTGCCGATGGGCCCGCACAACTCTGAGGCACCTGGATACGGGAATGGACGGAGCGGCCTAAGAGGTCGCGAGAGGGAACGTGGAAGAACTCTGGCGCGTTGAGCACTCTCTACACATCGTCCTTACGAGCACCCGGAGCAAAATCATAACCAGGGAACATGATTATGACCACTCAGTATCTATTCTTCACCGTTACCAATGTTCGCCATAGACGTCTCGTCGCTCTCGCACTCAACTTGCATCACCACTCAAAACATCCTCGATCTCGGTGTCCCCGTCATTTATCGTCGGTATCTCAACATATCCATATTCAAATATCCGCTTGCACAAAATAGCACCGACTCCCATCGCTGCTGCTCCCAGGATAGTGCATATATTTGCTTTGAATGCACTGCGACAGGTCCTGCGGCCCACAAGGGCATGTCTACCGCCGACATGGCTGCGTCCCTATCTCCGCCCGCTAGGGGCCGGGGTAACGACCGGTGGTCTTATCTATGTATCTATTGAGCACGGTCTCATTAGCGGCTCCATCCACCCTTTCCGCATTCATCGACATCGGCATCGGCATTGATATTCGCATTCTGTATCAGCAACTCATTTCGTCCTTCGCTTCCTTCTTCCTTCCAGTCAAAATTCACTCCACTTCTGTTCGTTTGAATGTGTCCGGGGTCGCCATTGCTGTGCGTTGGCTGACATTCTCGTGACCGCGCCTGCGCTCATACGCAGTCGCGTGGGCGAGCGGCGTTCCCACTCCAAAATTCGTGTTCGTGTTCGCGAAAAGGGGGTTGGCCTTTTGCGCGAGCTTCTTGTCCGTACCTTTGTCCTTCGAACAGAATTCATAGCACATTACGGTATCATTTTTTTGGCTAGTCTGGCGGTCTCATATACACACGCATCACACGAGAGAACGCGACTTGTGCGCTGCCGGCGTGCGCATCACACATACACGTTGCAAACAGGGTATATTCGCATGTAATAGTAGTATCTAGGCCGGTCTAATGGAACGAACGAAAGAACGAACGAGCGATGGCATGAGAGGGGAAGGGGTTCGTGCGGTGACGGCGAGCTTTGCCGCGGAGCGAGCGAGTGGTGCCCGCGAGCTAATAGCTTAAACATGCCGTGCGCCGTAACAGGAGCACAGTGTGATAGAACAGAGGCAGCCTCCGTCCGTCCACGACTTGCAGCTGTGCGCCGCGATCGGCGGGCGTGGGCTGGAACGCACGTCCGTCTTCGTTTCCCGCGAGCGCGCGCGGCATTCGGCCGGCATTGGGTTCCCTCCCCCGGAAGGCAGGAAGGCAGGCAGGGGAGGGAAATGGAAGGGGGCGTGGGGGTGGGGATGG